CCGCTCGCATCTCCTGTGGGCGGGACCAAGTATCGAGGATAGGAGTCGAGGAAAGGAGTCGAGGAGGGGAAATTAGAGTATTAAGAAACCTCGAGAGCATAAGGAGGAAACAACAGGAAGTGAACTCATATGTGATGAGAGCAACAGGAAGTGAGCTCACGTGTTCCAGAGCGTTCCTGCAGGCCTCTCTGATCAGCTGATCCGTCTGCACCTCCTCGCTGACGTTCTCCTTCACGTTCTGCGCCGCTTTGTCAAAGAACTGAAACACAATCAGTATCTGAGTCACATTTAGCTTTAGAGCTTCATTCAAGCCTTTGTTTCTGTCTGAGGTGATAATAACAACAACAGTTAGTGTGACCTCTGACCTTATGGTACTTCCTGAACACGGCCATGATGTCATCGTTGAAGCTCGGCTGAAGCACCGCCCTCAAGAGATCCATCGACACCTGAGGGTCTGTGTAGCTGCAGACAGACAGGTGAGAGAGAGACAGGTGAGGAGAGAGAGAGAGAGAGAGACAGAAAGAGAGAGAGACAGACAGAAGGAGAGAGAGACAGGTGAGCAACAAGGTTGATGAAAAATGGCACAAAAAAGGCCACACACACACACCTGACGGCCATGTGTGAGCGGCGTCCTCTGCGCTGGATCTGTCGGTGTTTGATCATCAGGTTCCACGGCGCCTTCAACGAAAAGAACACCGACTGCTTTATATTTAGCGCTCGAAAAGTATTATCATCAAAATCTAGTGAAAGTAGCGAAAGTAAAAGCAGTCATTGTGAAGATTGGTCCATTTCAGAATAATATATATGATATGTTTTATAATGATCGATAATTCAAGTGTTATTAAAGCTGGAATAGTGGAGTAGAAGTACACAGTAGCATAAAAAGTAAATTACAAGGAGCCTATCTCAAAATATAATCACAGTACTTGAGAACATATACACTACACCTCTGCAAATATAGTAACACAATAAAATATAAAGTAATAACCTAGTGTACACGAATGTACCACATATAGTAACACAACAACAGAGTAGGTGTGTGGTGTTAGCCTGGTTAGCTGCGGTAGTTACCGGTCTCTGCTCCTCCTGCTCCCCGTCCAGCAGCAGCCCTTCCCGGCCTCCCTCACTGCGCTGCGCCCCCATCACACGGTCCGTGTGTATCCGAAGCTAGGCTAACTGGAGCTAACAGCTGTTTCCGTTAAAAGAGCCCCTTTACCAGCTGTTTACCGGTTAGTGACTCTGGCTCTTGGCTGACGGAGGTTTTCGGATCAACCGAAAGTAGATATTTCTCACAAGAGCTGATATTAGTTTGTGTCAGGAAGTTAATTCCACTGTGAAGTTAACAGCAGCCAACAGGCTACACGCTTCCGGTTAGCCCCTTCACAATTGAGCACCACAACTCCAATAAAAACAACGGATAAAAGGGATTTATTATTATTATTACTTTACCATTTTTATTATTAACATTGTCTGGAGTTTGGCTAACAGTATAGGCCTGGCCCATGTAGATAAGGCTCTGTTCTCAGCTAACATTGTTTACTCGAGTTTCTGCTCTTAGGCCAGGGCAATTAACCCATATCTCACGCACTCACGCCACACTTGCCTTTCCTCACGCTAAATGTTCGTCCAAAATAAATGTATATAAATATAAAAATAAAGTGAAGGAACAGCAAACCGAGCGGTCTACGAAATGAGACGGTCTTCTGTCTTAGTTCAGTAAAGTTGGAACGATATTGGGAGATTCTGATTTCACGGATCAATAACTCATTCACAAAACGTTATTCAGACACACATGACGTCTCCTAAGTACCGTGGTACGGTTGACAACGAACTAAAATCACATTTTGATCAAAAAAAGCCAATACGTGCCGACCTCCAAGCTGGACACATTACATTGGTCTCTATCCGCAGCCGGAGAAGAAACGAGAGCTCAGGGACCGTCTGCAAAGTGCAACTCCGAAAAAAGAGAATACAATAATATTCAATCACTATTATACAGCTTATTAATACCAAACTCACTACACACATCAATAGTCTCCTGTGTGTCATACTACAGCAAGGAGTTTGGAAGAATATGCTTTTGAATAAAAATAACTTTACTATTATACAGTATATTTCTACCAAACTCACTATTTGCATTGTTGCTGTTGTTAGCATCTGGTTAGCTAGCTGCGCTAACAGATATTAGAAGCTGTTTCTCAAACAATGAGAGGGAGAGCTCTCTCCTGTCAGACTGAGAGATAACTACAGCTCAGTGAGCTAAGGGACTCTGTTTAGATACTTTAGTCTAGTTATCTCAGTGGGTCTCGAACGGTTTGGTCACCATTTATGAGAATAAATGAAAAACAGTTATGAAATACTATATGACAGTAAAACAAGAATACAGTTTAAAAGGGGAGTGATTTGTAAAATATCCATAAAGAAAAATAAAATCTGTTTAGTGTTCTGTTTCATATGGGTGTTGAGAGATCTATCTATAGATCTCTTCATTTTGCTCTCAAAGTGCACCAGGTTGATGCATTTAACTTCAATATGTAAAAAAAAAATCTTCCCGGGGAGCATGCCCCCGGACCCCCCTAGAGGAGGTGCTGTGAGCTGATTATCGAGCCTTCATTGTAAGAATCGCGGGTACACTGTGTATGTGCGTATTCCACTGTAGCGCCCGGTGCATTAATGGGAAACCCTAGTTTGTAGGCCTACATGTTCAATACATTTGTAACACTGTACACATGAACGTTTCTTTTTTCGGTTCACCAAAAAAAAATCTCACTCCAAGCTGAA